AAAAACCAAAGATCTGATAATGAATAATGCTTTGCTCCCTGCTGCGAACACCACCGGTGACCTGGCATGCAGACCACAGCAAAGTAGTGAATAATTCACCGAGAGAGTCATAGACCTCCTGGTTAGACCGTAGCATTGCTTTTGTCTGACAAGTACGCTCTCCCGCAGCATCAGGCTTGACAGGATGTTTCAGTCCGCCAAGGCTTAAACAAAAGGTGTGTGTGGCAGGCTCCTGCAAGCACACCTTGTATGACAGGAACCAAATTTGTACTGCTTTTTAATCCATTAGCAGTCAATTAATAAATCTGTAAGCTTTCTTTTGGAGTGGGGGGGTGGATTTGCAATTGAGAAGAGAGGAGGGCTTTGATGAGGTTGGAGCATCTAGAATTACAAATTCCATCCAGGAATCTCATCCCACCTTCAAAAAATAAAATAAAAACCACCACCACCACCCCAAAAAAAACATTTAAATGACTTTTCACTGTCTGCAGTAAAAACCACAAGAGTCTGACTCTTTGGAGCTGGAAACTCAAGCTGACTTCTCACCCTTTACATGCATTTTAAAAAAAAGAAAAGAAAAATGTCCTGATGAGTTATTAAATCTGAGGTGTCATTCCTGTTTTTGTATGTTGCTTTCTTGGCACTGTGTGGCCGTGTATGTATGAATCTCTCTCTCTCTCTCTCTCTCTCTCTCTCTCTGTGTGTGTGTGTGTGTGTGTGTGTGTGTGTGTACAGACTGGCAGCCCATTCTGGGAACAAGTTCCCCAGTGTTTATTTTTAGTTTGAAGACTTAAAGACTCATAGTCACAGGAAAATACAATAAAGGGTTTCAGTCTGCACCATCTCTAATTTCTCATGTACATGGGGGGGCGGAGGGCTTGTCTGCAAAAACAATTCAGCCCTTAAGTTCCTGGTGGGGATGGAAAGAGAAAGATTTCACTCAAAAGTCTTTGCAAATCAAGCGGACAGCATTCCTTCTCAATTAAACGTTCCACACGTTGACTCCTTGGGGTTGCTGAAATGCTACATTGCTGCTCGAAACTTTCTGTATGCTAGACCTAAACGCCACTCACTCCTGGGAAGGCCTGCTGAAATCTGGAGAAACCTACTTTTGTGAGGTCTTCAGGCCAATGATCACTCTGAATGCCTCGTACTGCATCTCTTTTTATCTGCTCCTCCTTGATCCGCTGAGGCACCTTGACTCACAGAAGGGCTGGCCCAGTGTTTTGCAAAGGTTTGCTGCGGATATGCAAAATCACAACACACCCATGATCCATGGCGGCAGCTCCTCATTGGGATTGGTAGGGCTGAAGGCTGGGAGGCCAACACTAGGTGGAGCCAGAACAAATGGTAGACAGAGCAAGGAGCCGGTAATAGGCAGAACCAAGCAAGGCTGTGTACACATCATAGATTTAAAGCACATTATTTCCCGCTCAGAATCCTGGGAACTGTAGTTTGTTGGAGGTGATGTAGCTCTGTAGGTGTAAACTACAACTGCCAGGAAACTACAGTTCCCAAGATCCCATGTGACAGAAATAGAAGGGGAGGGAAAATAAAGAAATAATTGTGGCTAAACAGTAGGGAAAACCTATTGTCATCTAAAGAGCTCTCCAGGAAACAGCAAGCTAGCATCTGGCAATAATATTTTCTAGAGAGAAATAAACTGCTGTTTTCCATTCCTAGTAAAACTGCCTGAAGGAAGCACATATTTGCTATGGCAAATGGCATGCAGCGATTCTTTGGGAGTGTGCTTTTAAAAATAAACTTTCTTCCCAGCTCAGAAGGATTATTATGTAGGATGGAAGTAATGGGGAAACACTTCAGAGATGGCACTCCAAGCATTTTCAGTACACAAGGGGTATGGAAGCAGTGGGGCCACAGACAGATTTTCAGGAACCCTAGCCAAGCTACTCCCTGAGGGCACCCAGTATCACACTGGTGGAGCCCTCCTGGGAAATTAAGATAATGGCAGCTGCAACCACTTCCCTTGGGACTTCTCTGGTGAACACCAAGGCTGCATATGCACCATAAAACACATGACTTTCCCCAAAATAATCTTTACAGATGCTGGGAATTATAGAGGTAAACTGAGGGCTTTTTTTCGAAAGGAAAAAGGTGAAAGAACGCACCGCCTCAGTCTCCAACCCAGATGTCAACACTGGCGCCATCTTGAAACCAGAATCACATGACAAGATGCCAAGTTCACCTCTCTTTCCCCACCCCCACTCAGGCTGCTTCGGCCGCCATTTTGATAATAGGCAAAAAGACAAAGTAAACTTGGGGTGGCATTTAATGAGGTTTTGCTCAAAGCAAACCCACTGAAATTAATGGGCCCCACTTAGCCACGTTTCTTAGTTTCAGTGACTTTGCTTGGAGTAAAGCATGTTTTCGCATAGTTATAGAACTTGCTAAACAAATGGCAGGCAGGACTCCGAGTCGGCTCTTTGACTGACCATATGTCTTCCACATGTGGAATTCATGCAATTCCTTAAGCAAGCTCTAAAATAATTTAAATACAGATAGCCACAGGTTGCTATGATAAGTTGCCCTTTCCACAGCTGTTCATTAGAGCTCTCAGTTGACAGCATGCGATTATGTTGACCAGGGCTTGCCAGATCTGTCCTCTTAATGAATAAACTGTTCCATTATCTTTTTTCCTTACCTGCCTGATTTGTGAGATATAACTGCAAACAAAACAGAATTGCATATGGCGCTTCCTTTTGAATACACCATTTATGTAAATTGTGGTGTGTGTACCCTTAAGTAATTATGCCCACATTATCCAGTATTGATTCCAAGTAGTTGAAAGACAGCTTTAATGCAAAATACACAGCATCTAATTTTAAAGTGATATAATGGAACACGGATCAGTCATATTTAAATCTCCAGTAAACATGTTAAAGGGTTTCTTTTTGTTGCTCTCTTGGGTAAACCCTTTGTTAAAATAGAGTAATTATTTCTGGTGATGGAAGCACTGATATCATCTAGTGGTTTTATATGAGTTTCTCAGTGCACACACTATTATTATTTCATTAAGGCATATTATGGTAACACCCTTTCACAATAAACAGAGGGACTGGGGCTTTCTTAGAAGTGTAGACTTTAAGAGAAAAGAAGTGTGTCACTGCCAAATGCCTAAGACATAAACTGGTAGGATTTTCTTCAGCCATCATAATTAATAAACCTAATTAGTCATACAATTTTTTTCCCCAAAAAAAATCTCATCTCTGATTGCTAAATTTTGAGGGGCCTGAATAGCTAGGTTACACACAACGCATGTACAGGCAAATGATCATAGTAAGACAGGCATTTTAAAGTATATCTAAACTTGTGTGTATATAACAATTTCCACCACCCTAAGAATTTCCACCATTTGTAATTTTCTGTACAAAGCACCGCAGCTGAGGGACTTGGGACAGCTTGGAAATTGAGCATAGGAACTCCACAGGAAGTTGCATTATGCGAAGTCAGATCATTGGTCCTTCCAACTCAGCCTGGGAGCAGCTTCCCTGCCCCTCGCTCTTGTCCAGCTAGTCAGCAGTTTGTCTGATGCACAGCACAGCACATTCCAGGCCAGCTTTTACCCAGTGAGCTGGCATCCTTAAGGGAGAAAAGGGGCTTTGCATAACAAGATTACAAAATGAGTGAATGCTTACTGAAATCAGGGAAATGCTACATGAGTCCACTGACAGAGCTAAACAAGATTCGGTCACAAGGTGTCATCCAGCTCACAAATGGGTCTAAGCATGCCCACGATTGTGAGTTGGGGCTTAACTTACATGACATCGTATTTCAGATAATTACTGTATACAGTGAAGTAACTGAGCTAAGTCACAGTTAAGGGCTGATGAAATTATATCCAGCCCAAGTTTTGACCCTGTGCCATATGAACTGGTGTTCATTGTCACATCTGACATGACTTCTTCAAGCCTCAACTTCGTTATTTCACTTACTTGCTAGGAACAGCAAGGTCAAGAGCCAACACAGAGTTGGATGTGCATAAACCCATTGAAACCAACAGGTTTATTAAGCATGCTTAATTATGCATTGGATTAAAAAATTTTACTACACAAAGTGAATGCCTACTCTCTCACACATACATGCATACTTAAAGGTAAAGGACCGTTAGGTCCAGTCGCGAACGACTCTGGGGTTGTGGCGCTCATCTCGCTTTACTGGCCGAGGGAGCCGGCGTACAGCTTCCAGGTCATGTGGACTAAGCCACTTCTGGCGAACCAGAGCAGCGCATGGATACACCATTTACCTTCCCGCCGGAGCGGTACCTATTTATCTACTTGCACTTTCATGTGCTTTCAAACTGCTAGGTTGGCAGAAGCTGGGATCGAACAACGGGAGCTCACCCCGTCGCGGGGATTCAAACCGCCGACCTTCTAATCGGCAAGTCCTAGGCTCTGTGCTTAAGACTCACATACAAATGGAAATCACACTGACAAGGCTTCAAGAGCCATAACACAAGGCAGGTCAATTCACACGTTTATCTCATACTTGGACAGAAGGGAGGGGAGGAGGGAGCGCGCATGCCCAAGGCCCTCTGAAGCACTGAACTATGGTTTGGCATTACGTCTGAACGAGACCAGGGAATTGCTCGCAGCTATTTAGACGTAGGTCTAAAAGTGGTGCTTCCTCCAAGTTGGCCTGCTTAAATCACGGGAGCTTGTGGCTCTCCAGATGTCATTGAACTACAACACCTATCATTCACCCCTAGCCAGTACTATTTTTCTAGAAAAATACAACTCCTTCGTTCTCTTAGAATGGCAATGGTGCCCACTTGAGAGGTGCCAGAACTCACCTGAGAGATGCTGGAACTGAGTTCCAGCTGGGGGGGGAAGCCCTGCCCGTAACCATTGGCCACGCTGGCTGGGAATGGGATTTGGGAGTCCCATTCGGCACTGGCTTAGATTCGCACCACAAGAAAGCTATGCCATGCCCACCATCACAACCTCCCCCAAGACAAAGCTCCCACAGCAATTGTTTGCTCACCGAAGCAAGCTCCCGTCTCCCGTGTCCTCCACATCTGCAGCTGCACGGAAGCTGAAGCGCCGAAGGGGCACCCTGCCCGGCCCCGGGGGTTGGCCAGTGTCACTGTACCGCTCCTTCAGCCAGCGGAGGGGCACGCTCCTGTTGACAGGCCGGGACACCACGGCTCCCGAGGAGTCTGAGATGGCCTTCTGGTTGCCCACGTAGAAGCGTACCAGGGCGGGCACGTTGTCAAACTGCTCCTGCTCAAACTGGAAGAGGGTGCGAGAATAGCCCTTCCGGGGGCGCAGCACCACGCGGATGATCTTGAAGTGCAGGGCCTGGCCGCCCCAGCGGCACGACAGGACGTAGTCGTCGGAGCTGGACCGTGAGTCACGAATGAGGAACTCTCCGTCGTCCTGCAGCAGAGACTCTGCCTCCTAAGGCCAGAAAGGAAAACAAAGGAGAGAGAGAGAGAAAGAGAGAGAGAGAGAGGAACTTAGTTTGCGATTGGAGGTGGCCGAGGGGATCAGGAGCAAAAACAGTGTACAGTGGTACCTCAGGTTAAGAACTTAATTCGTTCCGGAGGGTCCATTCTTAACCTGAAACTGTTCTTAACCTGAGGTACCACTTTAGCTAATGGGGCCTCCTGCTGCTACCACGCTGCCAGAGCACGATTTCTGTTCTCATCCTGAAGCAAAGTTCTTAACCCGAGGTACTATTTCTGGGTTAGCGGCGTCTGTAACCTGAAGCGTCTGTAACCCGAGGTACCACTGTAGAAAGAAAGAAGGGTTGTCTAGAGGATCCAAGGAGTCAGTGTGGAGAGGTACTGCAAGTCCATCGGCAGGAGACCAAATCTGCTACAGGACACTCATACCTTTGACAGCTACATCAATCTCCCTTCTGGGCCAGATACAATATGCACCCATCAAAACTCTTCCCTTCCGGACAACCATTAAAGGAGAGAACCTTGCAGCTACTGAACACAATAAGCCCACAGGGCAGTCATTTTCAACCAGCATGCCGTTGGCACCCTGAGGTGCCTTGAATGCTGGTCAGGGGTGCCGTGGGCAACACTGGCCTCTGTCCCTCTTTCTTTCCCTCCCTCCTCTGATGCCCTCTTGCATATCTCTGCCTCCCAAAGGCTTGCACAGCTGTTTGTTGCAGCAGACTTGGCTACAAGCTCTGCAGGCGGATGGTGCCTCTGGTGGGGGGGGGCAGCTTACAGACCAGGGGCGGCAGCAGTGGCTGCCCAGAGGACTCCTAAGCAGAGTGGAGAGGAGGCTGGAGGAACCCTCCACAAGGGAGGGTGTCTGAAAGAGAGAGGCTGCCAAAGATTGAAAACCTCTGCCATAGGGAATCCACAGTGGGAAGAGATTTTATAGGGCGTTGTACTAGGTGGCTGTTTGGGTCCCTTCTAACTCTACAATTCTATGATCTCCCCACCCCACCCCTTTGAGAGGACATGGGAATTTGCAGCTTCCGCACACTTTGGAGGCACAGAACCATCTTCATCTATGATTTCAACACCACTGTGCCTGCTCTCTGTGCTGAAACAGCTCCTCCTCTTTGTCCAAACTTCCGAAAGAGGCAATGAGGATTAAGGTAGCTTTGTAAAGGGCTTTGCGTTGAGCCGGACAGGCATTACGAGTAATACTGAATTCAACTACATTTCTACTGCATGTTATTGTTTCATTCAGCTGTGAACCAACACAGAGGACTTAGTTGATGGATGGGAGAGAAATGGCACAAGTAATCATGAATACATCGGGAGAAGCAGACCTTCGCCATTCAGAACAGTTTAGGGTACTACCGGCAGATTTCTACACTTTCCAAGAGTTAAGAGACAGTCCCAGGAAAGCATTGTTAAGTTCTCCTCCCGCTCACCGCCACAGTATCCGTGGGGTATTACCTGCCGTGGCAGACAGCCGTGGTACCAGGCGTGGCTGCGAAGTTGCTCAGGGTCCAGTTTCAACTCCTCTTCCAGCTCCTTCCTCAGCTTCTCACCCAGCCAGTTCCATATTCTTCTGCTCAGATGTGGAGCAAGAAAGAAGGAGAAGGCATTAACCAGGCAAGGGGCACAAAACATAAAACAGCTGCTAAGCTGCGTATAAGAAAATATTGATGTACAGTACAACATAAATAGTCCGCAATGTTAGTCCAGGTAACTCGTAGCTTATGTGCATTTAAAACTTGTGCGCATTCAGCTTAAAAATATATTAAAAAGGGGGTCAAAAGCGGGTCAAAAAAGACTTTGGCAATCTCACCACCCTTGAACGCAATGTGTTTTGACTATACACAATTTTGGCTTTGCCTGCCAACCCCTGCCTAAGTTGAGAGTTGCCTGCATAAGTAGATTCCAGCAGTGCATATTGGTTCAAGTGCCCAAACTAGGACTGGCAGATCCACTCAGCCTTGAAGCTCTGTGGGTGGCCTTGGGCCAGTAACTTTCTTATGTCTCTGTCGAGCCCACCACACAGGGTTGATGTGGGGATTAAATGAGGGGGAGAATCAGCTGCACCATCTTGAACTCTTGTGGGATATAAATGGGGGAAAGCATTACAGAAGAGAGTGGACTGTTGTAAACAAAAATTGCCCTTTCCCTTATGGGTATCCAAGAGCCCATATAGAGTCCTTACATAGGTTCCCTGTTGGTAGGAGAGAATAACAGAGGCCAACCAGAGAATATTGAGAAGCAAAGCAGCTAGTAAGCTTGATCTTTATTGATCTGTTGCAACAGGGTGCTCCCCTCACCCGCAGGAGAGGAGGAACCCAGAAAATGGCGTGCAAGGCCTTATAAAGACTTTTGAAATTGCCACCCTGTAGATCAAGACCACCCCCAGAAACATCATACATACATCACAGAAGGGGTGTAACCTAAGACCACCCCTCAGATACATCATACCTATATCACAGAAAAAAAGGTAAAGGTAAAGTACCCCTGCCCGTATGGGCCAGTCGTGTCCGACTGTGGGGTTGCGCACCTATCTCGCTTAAGAGGCCGGAGGCCAGCGCTGTCCGAAGACACTTCCGGGTCACGTGGCCAGCGTGACAAGCTGCATCTGGTGAGCCAGTGCAGCACACGGAAACGCCGTTTACCTTCCCGCTAGTAAGCGGTCCCTATTCATCTACTTGCACCCGGGAGTGCTTTCGAACTGCTAGGTTGGCAGGCGCTGGACCAAGCAACGGGAGCACACCCCGCCACGGGGATTCGAACCGCCAACCTGCAAGTCCTAGGCGCTGAGGTTTACCCACAGCGCCACCCGCGTCCCTCTATCACAGAGGGACTGTCCCCTCCATCACAAAAAAGGCAGTCTTAAAACAGAAATTTGAATGTTGTTTTTCTGCTGTCATTGTTTATCTCCTGTCTGGCAGGTTACTTGATTGGATTGCCTGGGGAGCCTGGCCAGTCTTTTGTAGTGATAAATACTTAGTTCCTGGGCCATGTCACAGGCTCACACCCCTATTCAAACACAGACATACCCTTAAGACAGGATTTGTGAAGGAAAAGACAATGGGGAGGCTTTCCACTTTGACCTTGCAGAGAAAACATTTGCTCAGTTTAGGAATCAAAATGGCTTCAGGTCGGTCTCCTGTGCTGATCTATGTACGTGCTTGGTTGGTACACTTATGAACATTTTAACATATATCTAAGACCTCAAAATTCCTATCACAGGACCAAACACAGTGTACATATTCATAGTTTGTGATGCCAACATGCTCTGCAATGTTGCAAGAAGGAAAAAAGGTGCACTCCTATCCCCTCCATTTCACAGGGTACCTGCTTGGGACAGGTAAAATTTCTTGGGTTGGCCCTGCAGGAGCAGGTGCGGGGGGGGGGGGGGGAGATAACAGCCAGCAGCAGCCTGGAGCCATGACAACCTACCAGAAAGAAACAAGCACTTTCTCCTTCTGGAGTTGTTTGCCTAGGGATGGAATTAACCATTAACAGGAAAGGAGTGTTGGAAAATAAAGCAGTGCTGTCTTCAGAAGCCGGCTCAGTGCAGGTGAAGAAACGGAAGCCAAAAAGCCATGACATGAATCCCTTGCCAACAAGCTGGTCAACATTTTCCAGCTAAAATCGCCTCTCAATCTTAAGGCTGCACGGCCATGATCAGTATCGCCATTGTTCATAGGAATCTGAAAGACCGTTCCGTTCTGACCGGGGGGAAAGTGTTGCCAACCCAGCCAGAAAGTGCATTTTCAAAAGTCTCCTAAACACTCCCACTCCAAGCAACATTCTAGCTGGGTGCCCCCATTGTACCACCTGAATTAGAAGCTCGATTAGAGTGTTTCTGCTTCCAAGAATGCAACAGTGCGGGGGGACTCTGATGCTGCCCACCCTCAAACCCAATTAAATGGGCTTCATTGTATCTGCACTCTCTCTTACTTGGAAGTAAAGCGCTGGGATTTGCAGGCATTGACAGCCTCTTCCCACCCTTGACCAGTGTTAGGAAACTCAGGTATATAAAGCTAATCGCCAAATGGCAACCTGGGTACGGTCGGCACAACAGAATCTCTAGGCAGGTTTTGCAATGGAACTTACTGTTGTTATTATTATTAATTTTATTTCTATACTGTTTTATATTTAAAGGGGAAAAAAATCTCAAAGCCATTTACAACACATTAAAAACAGGGGTCAGCAAACTTTTCAGCAGGGGGCCGGTCCACTGTCCCTCAGACCTTTGTTGGGAGCCAGACTTTTTTTTAGTGGGGGGAGTGAATGAATTCCTATGCCCCACAAATAAACCAGAGATGCCTTTTAAATAAAAGGACACATTCTACTCATGTTAAAAACACGCTGATTCCTGGACCATCCGCGGGCCGGATTTAGAAGGTGATTGGGCCGGATCTGGCCCCTGGGCCTTAGTTTGCCTACCCATGCTCTATTCTCCCTATTCAGATACAGAAGCTCATAGCCGAACAGTTTGAGTCCCGCATTTTCTAGCAGAAAGGGAGCTTAACTCACACTGAAAGGTACCATCCAAACACTTTCCCTTGGATTTTTCTTGGAGAAAGAAGACAGTTATGCATTTAAAAAGGAAATAAATAAGTAGAAGGTGCGACATACCATCATCTCCTAATAATGGCTTGTTGAGGAAACAACTTCTCCAGTGGTAGATGTGTCTATCTCCTCCAGAAACATTGACAATTTGCACGGAAAATGACTTCTGACGGGTTCCCCATTCACCAGCTTCTGAACTGCCTTCCAGCCTGCCGCCACTGACTCTACAGCCTGCATAAAAAAACCCACTTCCTTTTAAAGGGGCGGGAAAGGTGATGACAAGACTGAGGTTACAAACTCACTGAGGGGGAGGAAAACCGATGTCACAAAAGTGTGTCACATACAACCAGAAGTCCCCTCTGAACTCATCCACCTCAAGGGGGGGGGGGGGAGAGAGAGAGATTAACACACTGGCTTAAAAGATTAAAAAAAAAAAAGAAATTCCAGAGGATCGGTACAATTTCACCTCATGTAAGGAAGACTTGAGTAAGTGGAGTAAAGAGAATGAAGGAAATGGAAGCAAGAAGAATTACCGACGGAAAAATAATGGCAAATGAAATTAATGGACTATGCAGAATTAGATAAATTAACAGGAAGGATTCGAAACCTGCGGGACCAGAGATTCTTAGAAGACTGGAGTAAATATTTGAACTATCTGAAAAGCCAATTGTAATACAGTGGTACCTCGGGTTAAGTACTTAATTCGTTCCGGAGGTCCGTTCTTAACCTGAAACTGTTCTTAACCTGAAGCACCACTTTAGCTAATGGGGGCCTCCTGCTGCTGCCGCGCCGCCGGAGCACGATTTCTGTTCTCATCCTGAAGCAAAGTTCTTAACCTGAAGCACTATTTCTGGATTAGCAGAGTCTGTAACCTGAAGCGTATGTAACCTGAAGCGTATGTAACCCGAGGTACCACTGTAAACAGATTACGCTAGTAGTACTGCAAGAAGTTCTGTATGGAGGACTATGTAAAATATTGCAAGGAAGACTATGAAGAGAATTATTAGTTAATGATAATTAAAAGTAAGAGAATTAAGAAATGTAGACAGCAAGTGATAAAGAACAGAAAATCTTCAGAGGCTGTTGGACCGGAAGTCAAAAGTATTGTATAAGATCAGAAGCTTATGTGATAATGATTGCTTGAAGTACTGATATGTTAAAAAAGCTAATAAAAATGTATATTAAAAAAAGAGAATGAGGAAAAAACATAAGAGGCTTGCAGCAGATACTGGGAATGGTTCTTTTGCTTCAACAGACATGGTGAAGGTGGCAGAATTGACTCTTTCTGTCTACAGTGGTACCTCAGGTTAAGTACTTAATTCGTTCCGGAGGTCCGGACTTAACCTGAAACTGTTCTTAACCTGAAGCACCACTTTAGCTAATGGGGCCTCCTGCTGCCGCCGCGCCGCTGGAGCACGATTTCTGTTCTCATCCTGAAGCAAAGTTCTTAACCCGAGGTACTATTTCTGGGTTAGCGGAGTCTGTAACCTGAAGCGTATGTAACCTGAAGCGTATGTAACCCGAGGTACCACTGTAATTTGATTCAGCAAGAATGGCTCCAGCCAAAATAAACTCACAAGCAAGCCTGAGGCATCAACCTGGAATGTTAGGGAGAAAACAACTGAATTAAATGGCCCTACGCCCTGATTGGAAGGGATGCCTCCTTACAAACCAAAAAGCAAGACAAGAGATGCGGAAGGGGGAATGGTGCATCTAGCTTGCCTACCTTGCTCTGATCTCAGAATCAAGTTATCCAGGAGTCTGTCACTAACAGATAGATGTGAATAAAGGAATCCAAAATCAAGACCCCCTCCTCACATGTACACACACCACCATGTGCACATGCACAGCCAACTTTGCCACTGCCAAGCTAATAGGCACAACAGTCAGCTCCACCAGCTGGTCAGAATCAAGACAGAAAGAGGCCAGGGTGAGCCACACAATAGAGAGGAAATGCTCCGTTCAGTGGGTGCTTCCCCTTCCCCCCCCCCAAGCTTTTCGTG